GGCACAAACATTAAAAGTTTTTTAAATTACCATCGTCATTCAAGATGGTGATTTCCATGATGGACAGCTTTCCCAAGACGAGACCATCATGCGAATGTGGGTACTCGTCCAACGGCAGCAAGGACAACTTCAAGAAAAATTCTTCATCCGGCTCCCATTGATCGTCATTGATTATTTCCACCTCCACCTGCATGAAATGTGGGCCATCATTCACGCTATTCCCTTGCCTTTCATAATTTTTTGTGCATCTTAACACTACTTGAACAATTACGTTTAGAGAAACGCTGATTGGATTATAAAGAAAAGGTTGGATGAAACTACGATACAATAGGGCCCTGAACTCGAAAAGAACTGCCGAGACACCCGGATAATGTTTCGAGTTACGGACACGTTTCGAAAATTTCCAGACGATTGAAAATTTTTATTTTTCAAAACGTTGATGTTTCAAATAAGAAAGAGCTACTGTAATTCCATTTCCAAGCAGTGAAAATTGTACTTCATTTACTCCAATTCATCATGCAAAACAAATAAATTTTGCGGTTTTATTCAATGGGATTTTCCATCAACTGCGTACAGTTTAGCAAGGCGTGTGTTTTTTGCCTTTGTTTACTTTTTGAACTCATTTTTATGCCGAAAAGATCGTTCTTATGTGGTTTTATTCTTAAATAGTCAAAATCTCATAATGAAAAACATTGTTATTTCATTTTTTGGAAAACATTTTGAACTTCCGAGCAAGAACGTAGATGTGGTTAAAAAAAAGTGTCTTTTCATTCCCATGGAAAAATACGATCTGCCCCAAGGGTGTTCCTACAAATTTTGTATGATTGCTCATATCATAAGTGGAAATCGATTTGTTCAAAAAAATATCTTTGGAACAAACCTCCTTCTCAAGTTCATTTGGCTGAAACGTCAGGATCTGGTTGATGGGCATGAAGTCTGCTTCTGACGTCGCTGAACCATCAATCGTCTCAACTCTGCCACGAAAGAACAAGAGAATAAGAACATTCAGGCATGATTTAAAACGCCGTCGTGAACGAAGAAAAACAACGCATTTTTCCAAAGATTAAGTCATTCTGCTGCAAAAAATGTACGACTCGAAAAGTGGACGAGACGTCTCCGGACGTTCAGACATTGGCACAATAAAGTCCAATGTACCTATTATTTCCACATCTTGGGGCCCCACATGCAAATTGAGTCATTTGCATTTTTTTAAATGTCCCTATAAAATTACCCTAATTTGTTAACAAAAACGGGCCAATTTTGTGCTACTTTTTTCAGTTTTTTCCATCAAGTGTTATCAGTATAGCAAGACTTTTTCTTGTACTTTGCTTATTAAGCTCCTTTCTGATGCCAATAAATGATCAGATCTTGTGAATTTTTCTCCTGTACATTCATTTTCTGTATCTGGACGTTGATAAAAAAATTATTTTACTGAATTTTTGAGCAGAGCTTTTTCTCAACTATTTCTTTACAGCAGAACTGATGATTAAAAATATTCCCACTGAAGTCTATGGGGAAATGAGGTCCAAAGTGTGCACATTCTAGGGACAATAAGATCCATATGCACCAATTATGTTTGTTGGGGACTGCAGCACACACATATTAAATACAGTACAGTATCAGCTTTCTAAATTTGCAAATCATGAGTTGCGCCATATATAGAGATTTTTTCCTTTGGCAATTCTTGTGGATTTCATTTATTTGAGCCAGTATTTTATTTTCCAACTGTGTCACAATTTTGTTCAATGATTATGTGAAATGTTTTTAACCTGTTTTCATTTTACCTGTGATGTATGCAAAAATAGATGAGTCTCATTTCAGCACTGAAACAAAATGGACGTTTTGCCATGGTCCTCTCTGCCTGTGTTGGATATATGTTCATCGAATTAAATTTCTGCTCAGGGGATGCATAATTACCCCTTTGCATAGAATAAATTTAACCTCTGGAAATCTTTCAAGTCAGTCACCTATTATCAGCAACATATACATGTTGCAGAAATAAATTCATTCATCTAAATTTAGAAACAATGCTTTTGAAGTCACTGTTTGCACCAAAAGCTTGTGCATCAGTGAGATAAGAATCTGGCATGAAGGTTTTCCAGATTATCATCACCAAAGAAAAGTTAGGTTCAGAGAAGTGAGAATACCTCAAGATCTGTCAATCAAGTCAATTTTTATATCGTCGTACAAAAAAAGCTGCAAGACATCTTTAGCTTTAATTTAAGATGTTGTGAAATTTTCTAAGTATAAAATTCGCAGAGGTATTTGCTTTGGAAGTTTGCACATCGGGAATTGCGCCATAGGCAAAGCATCTTTTCTTTGCTGATTTTCTTTTTCTTTTTGAAGGTGAGTTTTTATTGAACAATGTGAGATTGTATTTGCTGATTGTGTGTGTGTGATTGTTGTCTTCATGAAACCTGTGATCAGAGACAATAACAAGAGTCCTCTTTTAACATCCAAGGAGTACGTGAGGATGCTCCAGCTTCTTTTATTTTTCTGCAGCCATGATGTAGTTTTGTACTTTTAAAATTAAATCCCCTTGGAGGCTGGGTAACTGCCTCAGCACTCAGATGTCTCTTGCATCTGGAATATTTTTAATGCAGCTTAACATCTGCAATATATACAGTTTCTCAAACTGACCTGATCTGAATGGTGTTGTCCATGCGACCATGTCTAGTGATGCCGACCTTGAATTTGNAAAAAATAAAAAAAAAAAAAAAAAAAAAAAAAAACGTGTGAAACATTCCCGGAACAGAAATACGAAAGTCCAGCAGTCGCCAATTTTTGAGACGCTTATCATCACACTATATACATATTCATTCCATGCGCTTTTCCCATCACACATCCATAATCGCGAATAAAACATTATTTCTGCATGCATATTTTCAATAACGAAAAGAACGTAGTTCTTTTTTTTTCTTTTTCAACGTACTGTACGTGAAATCCAGATGACGGAATTTGACGTGAATCACACGAAATAACCAGCAGTGATGAGTTTGTGCTGTCTATGCCGAAATAAAACTCTCATTTGAACCAATATATTTTGGTCATGATGCTTGTTGAATATTATTCAGGTGAATTACGCATATACGAATGAAAGTGCAAAGAAAAACGATTTTAAAAATTATCCCTAAAGGATAAAAATATCTAAACGAAATACAGTATACTGTACTTGAAACTACAACTGAAATCTCAGAGCAAAAAAAGTTCGCGTCCAACTGCTTGTGTTGTAGAAATTAGAGCAGATACCCCGGAGATTTCGGAAATTGACAGACATTTTGTACGAAGAGGTTTCCTCTTCAGCACTAATCAGTCCCTTTCATGAAGGAATAAAATAATTAATGCAAGGATAATTAGATTATATGCAGATGAGATGACCTCGGAATTGCCCAACTCCGAACGAAAAGCGTTATAGAAAACACTCCAGAATCATTCTCATTGATGAAAATTTTCTTCTTAATTCTAGATATCAAGAACCCAGGGAATAATGCACACATAAAGTGTATATACACACACCAACTCAAGAAGATTCAATTTAAAAAGAAAAGCCAGGCATCTGTTTATTGAGGCTTTTCACACGGTTCAAAAAGCGAAGCGGATTTCATTCTCCGGTCCGAAAATGAAATACCCTCACCGATTTCTCCAATTTCTGCACATGTTTTCCGTCCGTTTTGAAGTGAAATCCAGATGTTAATTTGGAAAAAGAAATTAATGAATGAAAGTTCAACAAAATATGCACTTTTCAACTACGTCATCATGCAGCTCGTCGACTTCCAACGATAGAAATCGTCGGAACATTTCCGAAAAGGCATCATCATCGACAAAATATTCCCAAGAAAATAATCAATATGCCATTTACGCCGACAAATAGAAATTCGGCGAAAAATATACCATTGCCAGACACAACAAAAACCCAACACATACTTCAACGATATAAATGAATTGGAGTAAATAAAAAAATGGAGACAAACTATAATGAAAACTCAAACTCTGCCAGCTTTTTCGCGCTGGGCTATAGCTTCTTTTTCAAAGAAATCGCTGTATACCTACAAATTGAAAATAATTCATGAAAAAATAAGCAACGATCTTCGAATATGAAAACAAAATCACGCAGTGGAATTGAATTACCGATTGTGAGACCTTATTGTTCGAGGAGGAGAAAATCGTGAAGCACGACGCTTTTTTCTTCTGCGGAGTCGCCGTTGCTTCCTGCACCTTTTTTTTTGTGGCAGATAATTCCCAGAGGAAAACAAAAAAATATACGATTCAAAATTCAGAGAAAATTGTCTCATTTTCGTGTAATAGTTTCCAGCCTCACGACGAAAATTTTAAAAATTGCGAGAACTGTACAGTACAGTATATTGGTTCGAACAATTTGTCTGTATAGTAGTCATTTTGGAAATCCAACCTTTTACTGCCAAAAATCTCAGAATAAAATGCATTTATGATCAAAAATGACGCATTGAATAAATCAGTGTTCATGACATTCTCTTTTAATTTACTTCTAACTGTTCAATTTCATTTCCGCCAATATTGCATTAACTATCAGCGCAACTTTGAAAGTAATGTGCAAATATAATTTTCAAAATACATTACAGTCAACCCAAAATTTAGTACCACCCACGCACGGTGCCACAAATTTTTCTATAATCACTGAAGAAAACCGAATCATGTTTAATGAGGTATGTTTTAAATTAGAAGTGTTCATCCAATCAATATGAAACTCTCGTCAATTTCGCTTCCAGCGTTCTGTAATGATCTGCACATTCCAGTTTTTGATTGAATCGTAAAAGCGTTAAAAATACTGTATTTAAGATTTTTGTAGAAAATTAGGCTTAATTTTGTTGCATAAATCCAGTATCAATATTTCAACTTGGCGAACTCACATTTTTACTTCATCGTAAATGATAACTCAAAAATAATTTTAAAACAGAAAAATCAGTTTTCAGTTAAAACTGCTGATTAATTCCGAGTGTCTGATTCTCATTTGATCAGAGTTACGCGTTTACAGTATTTTAAAAATACCGGTATTTGAGGAAGCATTGTAAAACGGGAAAAGTATGATAAAATATGCGTTAAAAAAACTATAATCATACTCTCAACAATTTCGGGGAGTTCAAGAATAATGACAAAGCTCAGCATGAACCATATTCCTCGCAATTTTCAAATTTTTCTTCACGATGAATTTCTTGGAAAACCCTCGTGCGGAAAATGTTTGAAACGTTATGGTATTGTGTTGTTTTCCACAGCAAAAACGATTCATTCACACGTTGTCCACACGTGTTTTTGCAAGATTCTGGCTAATGTGAAAAGCACATTTAACCTTCGAGGAAGACGAAACTGCAATTTTGAGACCATAACTACTCACTCCAATTCTTTGTGAAATTGCAGGTGAATCAAGTCGTGCTTCGTGTGCGATTTACAACAGTCATTTCGCCGTTTGAGAAAAATAGTTTTTATTTTGAAAAATGTTGTATGGCGGTTCTCAAATATGGAACCCGGTTTGCGCCGAAAATACATAGCCACAATCACAATTTTGATCCGTACATCAATTTCATTGTTTTAAGACAAGTGTATCATGGGAAATATGCGCATTTCCGAAACTTTTTCAAATGGTTTTTTTTGACACCTCGTCTGAAAATTGAAAATGCCTCGACGCTTTTGACAGACAGTATCAATGCTCATGGCATTAAACACGCACAAAATTTAAAAAAAAAGATATTGAGCTTTTCACGCAGTAGGGTATCAAACGTGAGTTTCGGGGAAGCCTGCAGAATAACCCATAGTTGCGATCGAGTCACCTCGATGGCTCCATGCTACAAGAAAGCAACGCAAGATCCATTTCTTCGATTCCTCAGCGACATCTACGAGAAGACAAAGGCACTACCTTTTTTGCTCACGTTCGCGCCCTTCATCCGTTCTCAGCGGAATCGACCAATTTTACAACTTGACCGAATTGTTACGTTATCTTGTGAAGAAAAGAGAAGTTACCGCAAAATAGTTTCATTTGCATCTCTTAGATGTCGCTCAAGTATAGCTCCCCAGAGGTAAAATGGCGAACGCGCTTTCACACGTCACAATCGATTCCAAGGTTGCGAGTGACTCTTATACACGAGACGCGGTGAAGTTTTCAAGCCAACGAAATACGAGTCAATCAAAATGGTTCCCTTCCATTCACGGGATACAGCGTCTATATAAACACAGCATACGCGTATAATGCTGCGATTCTTCGATATTTTTCTTCCTGAAAACGAGAGAGTAGGAAAGAAGGAGGAATTTATACCTGGGCCAAGTAGCGTCCATGCTCCTTCGCGTCGTAACACAGCACACAGCATACGCGTATAATGCTGCGATTCTTCGATATTTTTCTTCCTGAAAACGAGAGAGTAGGAAAGAAGGAGGAATTTATACCTGGGCCAAGTAGCGTCCATGCTCCTTCGCGTCGTAACACAGCCAATGTTTTTCATCCCCGTGCACCAAACCGTACCGTGTGTCCACCGGTGAACCGAAGGAGATGCAGAAAAGGGGCAAACGTAAGATAGCAACCGCCATGAAAAAACGAAGCAAGCAGCACTTCTTTCAGGCGAACAAAGCTTCAACGATCAACAAGGCTTTCACGTCAGCTTCGAGGATGACGATATGAGACGACGAGCGATTAGAAAAAGCCCCTTCGTACTCAAGTGTAAAAGCAAGGCTGAATATACAGTCACACTACGACAAACCAGCAGAGGCAACGCCATAAAAAAAACTCAACTACAGTAGCTCAACAAAATACAGCAATGAAACTTCAAGAAAGAAAGTGCGTCCTACAATAAAAGTGAACGAAGCGTGAAGTAATTGAAAGAAATGCTGTACAGGTGGAATCTCTCCACAATAACGATTTTCTCTGTACACAGAATAGTTTCCTTCGTCCCACTTCTCTCCAAGCTACAGGGGTTCTCTACAACGAATTTTTCTCTACAAAATTTTTTTTATGGTTTCCTGAATTTCGTTGTGAACGAATTCTACATGTGCTAAATTGTGCAAAGATCAAAAGCGTCGGTCGTATGCTGAAGACGTTCAGAAAATCTTTAACGCAGTTTTTTGCATGGAACTCGTTAGTTTAAAATCGCTTGGCAGAAAGGATTTTGAGTATCAACCCAGCAAGTCATGCAAGAACAGACAGATTTTTAATCAAATCGGTTAATTTAAATCTCATCCACGAATTTTCAGGGCACAGCATGTACCGCAATTTTTTTTCATCAAGTTCTCAATGTTTTCGATATGATTTTTTTATTTTTCGACGGACTTTTTCACGATGGTAGCCTTTACCAGAAAATTCAAACTCCAAGAAAAATAGTTCATCTACATCAGGGAACCATTTTTAAGTCAGAACAAAATTCTCGAAAATAACATAAAAAAGTTCGAAATGGAATTCCGTCTACGACAACAAAAAAAAGAAACAAGAAGAAAGGAACCAAACTACGAAGTTATTCCGCAATACTGTCGTAATACGCAATAATTCTCAATTGCAAATCATTTACGTGATTGCGTCACTGTAGAACGTGTAAATTCTATCAATTTAGAATATTGTACTTGTAATGCAAAATACTGTGCGAAAATCCCACAACAAAAACGACCACCGCTTACTCACTGAAGAATTCGACAGCTTCCGGGTTTTGCTTCCTCTCTGTGAACGTCGGGCACATGCAATCAATGAAATGCAATCATGCTGTATTAGATAAAGAGAAAAAAGCTTTCTGAAAAAATGAATGGAAAAGGCTGAAAAAAAGAAAAAGAATGAAACTCGTCACAAGAAAAGAAGCTCATGCTCAAGAAAACTTGGCCCAGGTCGATCCTGAAAAGGTGACAGAACGCGCTATTCAATGCTGAGGGATTTTGAATGAAATTCCGAATTCTTCGGGTTTTCCGGAAGAAAAAGAAGAACTCAACAACCAGATTTCTTCATTTAATTGCCCGAAGTATTCTCACGGAATTTCAATTCGATTCATTCGCGTTAAAATACATCTTGCAAAGAACATTGGCATGCTATTCGCAACAACAGAAATTCAATAAGAATTATCAGTTTAATCATTTTGCAGACCACGAATTTATGAATTTACCACAAAATTATTCCAGAAGCATGATCATCCATACTTTTTGACGATACAGATTTTAGTCAATTATGAACATATAGACATGAAGTGTAACTATTAGATATGGGTAATGTCAACTGTTCTTTT